TAATAATTACACATTACTGCAGTTAATGAATACATGTACTGTACATGTAGTTTTTGATGGACGTACTTTATCAGTTTTTGGTATCTTCTTCATAAAGGTTCTCTCAGTGATTTCGGAGCCTTTTTTGAAAAAAAACCATGAGCTATAGTACAGGGTAATATAGCTCATATAGTACTCTATACTATACTATATTACTGATACTATCAGTGATAATCTTAAATATAGAGATAGGGAAATTAGTACATGATGACAGCTCAGCTTTTACAACTCAACTAATTAACAAATGAATCAGCAAGTATCAGCAAAAATAATAATAAACAGAACAAAATGAAATACTATAGACAATCATCCACTAACTAATTATTGACAATATTTATCTCTAATGTAACTAGCAATAGATTTCTCTTCTATTGTATCCAGTGCTGTAGCTAATGATGACCAACTAGGACCTCCTTTCTCTCTCATTTTATCTTCTCCTCTTAACCAGGCAGACATACACTGTCTGAAGCACTTCTTTGAGTCTCCATTATTATCTTCATTGATGTCTTCTAGTGTAGGCTGATAGAGTCCTAGCTGAAGACCAAGATCATGCCATATATGGCAAGGTAACTGATTGAGTATTGCTAGCTCTTTAATAACAATATCAAGATCTTTAATATCTATAAAAATAATAATTAATAATGTGTATATACACTGTACAGTCTACACTCCCACTACTTGACAATTGTGATAGTACATATTATAACATACCTAGCTTTATTGGAGTCAATGGTGTCTTGAATTCTTCAGTTATTTCAATCACTTCCTATACAATAATAATAATAATAACTGATATTTGTCACTGTGCTTGTTCATCAAGGTGTTCTATAGAAGCCATACAGATCAAAGGTACTGTGCATGGTTTATAGTGGATATTCAATGAATATCACTTTATATCTGCCAGCCTTAGGGCACTACCGTATAGCCGGAAAAACTGGCGGAGAATTAAATTTGGCGAATTGGCGGTTCAAAATAAAACCGCCAATATTATAACTGCCAATAATAATAGCAATGATGGGCGGATCCCGTCATGAGCACATGATACTGAAAAATGCCAAAATGACAGTATTTCTGAGTATCTCTCACTATTTCAGTCAAGACTGTGGGCAAGGACTGGCAAGGAGCAGCTTCAAGAATTAAGAGCTGAGAGTGCTTAAAGAAAAAACAAGATAGTAAACCGCCAAATTAAGAGACCGCCAATATTATATTTAGGCAATTTGATGCAAAACTGCCAAATTTTCCAGCTATACGGTATCCATATTTCCCTAGGGCAGCCAGATATACAATGATATTCATTGAATATCCACTATCAACCACACTTGGTGGCCTTTGGTCTGTATGGCTTCTGGATGGCAGTTTGCACATGAGACAAAGTTTTGAGCCTTCTAACAGCAAAAGAACATAGAGATACTGTCTAAAGTCTTTTCTGGAAGCATTAGAAGGTAGAGAGAATCTTCATAAGTCTTAATAAGAACCCAGTTGTACTTGCAAGGTGGTGAAAACAATTATAGGAATATTTTTACACTGTTACGCTTGTTGTGTATACCATATAGCCGCTTAATTTCGAGGGTACAACTTTCGCTGTTTTCGCAGATTTTCCATATTCGCGAAAGTTAATTCCGTGAATTATCCGTATTGCCCATAAACACGTGTACTTTAAAACAAGAACTGCGAAAGTTAATTCACGAAAAAAGACTTGTGGCCTGATTCGCAAAAGTTTATTGCCTTGAAACTTTGTGGCTATACGGTATATCAGATAAAGCCTCCAGTAGGATGTAATAACTAATACATATACATCAGTAGTGCATTGCTGAAAGGTGAGTTTAACAGATGTACAAGTATATATTACCGTAGGGCGCCTTTTTTTTGAGGGCTATAAATTTCGCAGATTTCGCGATTTTTTTTAAGATTCGCGAAAATTACTTTCGCGAAAATCAAATCAATACGGTACAAGATGGCAGACGGCATAAATTCACGAAAATTAAATCCGCGAAATAAAAATCCACAAAATTCATAGCCCTCGAAAAAAAAGGCGCCCTACGGTATTAGTAGTAAAAGCCACACAATGACAACCCACAATTATGACAAAGACTGAGTAATTGATAAGAAATAAAGATATGACCTTTTGATTATTAGTGCTTGTTGGCCTCGCCTACGCGAGGTATAGGTAGTTGTTTTGTGTGTCTGTCATTCATTCATTCATTCTGTACAACTGAAATTTGTTTTTAATAAACAATAACTTTAGCACAGCGTGTTCTAAGCTCCTAGATCTTTCTTTTTGACGTGGAAAAGTCTTTATTAACTGTTTTGTGTTGCTCAAATACAAGTGCTAGGTACAGAAGCTTCAAAGTAAGAAAATCGAGTAGTTGGGCCAAGTTCCGTTGTGTTGGCACTTTAGAGATAGCTGGTAGCATTTTTCAGTAGATTAGAACATGGCCTTCAAAAATTATGAACAGATTTCTCTAAATCTTACTTGATGAAGAGTTATACTTACTTGAAATTGTTGAGGTCACTCGTTTGTGAAGCGCTAGAGCAACAACTTGCTGGGTTATAGGTACTAAAGTACCTATACTATCTCAAATATACAAAGGCAGCAACTTTTTTTGTCAGCAAGTTTATCATATATTGCTGATTAGTAAAGAAAAAGTGAAGCTTCTTTCTCACATGGTCTT